GGTATAACATAAACAAAATCTAGTTTAATAAAATTTTGAATGTAAGACACTAAAACATAGTGTTATGTGCAGTAAAGGATACTCGGGGAGAGAGGGTTAATTACCATTTGATATTTAGACTAGTAGAACTTTAGTGAGGCCTCTATTTTCTTATTGAAATGTGATGAATGGATAAAGCTGCTTCCATTTGAAAATTTTTCCTTTTGAGTTTTTCCCAGGGTTTGATGCTTTCATCTCTCAGAGATTTTGAGCTTACTCTTTATCAGAAGGATTTTTGCACATTTTTTAATATTTTTTGTTTCATCTTTGGATGTGGGTGACATTTTCCTCTGTACCTGTATTTTGAGATTTGTCTTTGAGCTTGTAACATGAATGACCTGTTTCACTTTATTTTTATTTACTTCCTTGTTCATCTTCTTTCTTATCCAGATAATTTGGCATTTGCAGATTCTTTTAGGACCCTAGCCCACCTTCCTTACATTATTTAGAACCTTTAGCAGCTCTTCTGTTCTTATTGAGAATTTCTGTTCTCTTCCTGTATGCTTTCCCCCACTATTTGGTGTTTGGTCCTGGAGAATCTATACATCTTTATTCTCTAGTAATGAATACAATCCTTGACTTACATCAATTACTTGTAGTCTTGGATGCAGTAGGAATCTCCCTTCATCTCAAGGATTTTTGAAGTCAGCTGGGGGATCGTTTCTCTGCGATAACTCCATTGCAGTTTTATGTATCAGTTATTGGAAAAACACAAAGTTTCACTCTTACTTTCTGGCCCTGTGCCTTAAAGAGTTAGTTTGAAAACTTTGAATTTACATTATGATGGGCCATTTTCCGTAAGTGATGAATAATTTTGCTGATTACTTACCTTGTCCTTTGCACTTGCTTCCCACAAAGTTTTCTCTGCATCCTCAAATCTTTCTTCTAACTCTGTAGCTTTCTGGATTGATCAGTGTACATTTTTGTTTTTTCTTGGGTAAAGTGTGTATGTTCAGAACTGCATTGGGTACTCCTGTATAAGATTAAAATATGTAGGTTTCTTACATATTTAAAAGAAATAAATATATTCTGTTTCGATCAAGCATTTAACTGTCTTTTTCCTTCAAAGGAGCAGCTGTTTCTTTTTATTTTGATATTTTGTTCTGCAGTATGGCTCTGAATTAATCTAGAAATGGATAATAGTCTATTCAGTTTTTATGTATGGAAAGACCACTTCATTGTACTATCAAACGAATTCTCCATAGTTGATTATTATTGTTTAACTATATCTATAACTTCATGCTTTCTTTTTATATATTAAAGCTTTTATCAGATGAAACAAATTTTGGACAGTATCATCTCTTGACCTTTGACTTAACTCAGTATGTACGTTTGGATGGAGCAGCAGTAAGAGCTCTAGGCATATTACCCTCTACTAATGATGGTAAGAAGAAAAACATAATAAATCTTATTTATGCTGTTTCCTTTTAATATTTTTTTAACCACAGCATAGTGACTCTGAGTTGTTTTTTTTTTTTTTTTTTTAAGTACAAAATTTTAGCTCGTAGCTCCCCTCATCTCTTGACCAATTTGAGATCTAATTACAGTTTTGGGCACAGGAGGTCAATCCCTTTCGAGTGATGTATTTGACCACACCCAGAGTTTCATAGGTTAATTTACTCTAATCCTGCCTAAAATAATTTCAATTTGAGGGTAGGCTGGTAGAGATCCTGATGAGTAATAGAATTG